GCTACCATAGCGATTTCATCAAAAAGTGCTAGTACAGGCATGTTTACCTGAATGGATTGCAGGTTCTGCACCTTGGCACCGTCACTCTCTCCAAAGGTGGCTCACGCACATACACACGTGACACAGTCGTTCCAACTCCATGCTCTCTGTCAGAAGTAAAGGTGTGTCACAATTAGCGTCTTTACCCTTACAGGGTATTTTTTGTATGCTGAAATAACTGTAACCGGAAGGAAAGTATTTGTTAAAAATGATTCCGCCCATCGTAATAGACGTAGCTCCAATAGTATCATTAATGTTTCCTAACTCACTCCTTCTAGGAAGAAGCTAAGTAGTTAAGAATTAAGGTGATTTCTCATCCACATTTGGCTGAAGGAGTTAGTTGAGCATCAAGCCTGCCACACCATTTGCGTCGAGGGGAGAAAAGTGAAATTGGAATGTTGCATCGCCCACCTCACCTCTCTCACAGTGTCAGTGACAATGCACACCGATGAGCCTTTAGCGAATGATTGCTGTTGCATTTTGATTTAGACTTTGTGCACCATTTCATCTCTTATGTATAAAATTTCCTTTAATTAATTACCATTCAATCGTACAAGTGCTCTTTAACTCACTAACGGTATTTAATTATGCCCTGTATAGAACAGATGTTTTTCCACAACCATTTTTGTCAAAAAATCTCTTAAATTATTAACCGATGCTTTTAATATGTCTCTTTATTTTCCATTTCTGTTGCTATCAATCCCCATTCCTTCGCTAATTATAGCCAGATTCACAAATGTGCACCCAGGCTTTGTAATGTTCTTCACTTGCCATGACTCGATCATCGCTAGGTTGTTATTCGAAGTCAAGGCAGAGCACTGACGAGTGGCCTAATTGGAAAGGATTTTGTGCCGCCTCGATGAGTTTAGTCATCCTGTTCTCGCTTTTGATCACATAAAAGACCAATCTATGAGTAGGTGGTAGTTTCAAACATCATCTCTGCGCTTTTGATCACGTGAGATGTCTTCAGTAAAGTTTGATTTCATTGCACTGTGGTAAGAAAGTCTCAGACGAGTAAACAAAAGTGGTCTTTCGTCCTTCTGTCCCTTAAAACGGTGACGGTGTGCTTACGTCATGGCTCTGAGTCAGAAGGTAAAGTGTCACCTCTCAAATGCTATTCATGCATTCATGGTTACGCCTGTAGCTCTCGTTGGGTCTTCACGGTTGTTTTTAAATATAATTTCGGGACGGGAACCTAGTGTTAGCTCATATAATATGAAATGGAAGTAAGCATAAAAGACCTGAAGCTGCGTGGCAAGCGAAGGGGATACATTCATTGTGTAAAGTTGAAGAAGAATGCTTTACATGGCCTACTATCGCCTCCGTATGGGATAAAACTAGGCTGTAGTAACCTCATTTTGCTAGTTATTAGATTTGTTTTACTCATGGACAACAGAAAGCTACTTAAAATTGATTCTCAAAGAATTGAGGAAATAAAATTCCACCAGAACAGTTCTAATCTAAAACGCTTTAACCTTAGTAGATTGGCATAAAGGCTCCTTTTGACTCAACCACAAACTAAAGAACAACACATATCTGGCACGAAGATGCAGACCCATAAATCTTTTGGCCCACAACATTATCCGCACTGAGTACGAGTCTAGAAGGTGAATTAGCGCCCACATACATCGCCACAATTGATCCTCCTATTTAAAAAGGGGGTGAGACTGTCGTGTCAGCGTCACTTAAGGAAAGAGCTCACCCACCCACCAGTCAATTGCATTGCTTCCTCCCCCGTGCGTTTATAATCAAATAATGGTGTTAAATCAATTTTTTTAATAAGTCGGTCACCTTTACTTACTTTCACACTTAATTTATCTTATTCCGCGTTGTTAATTTGGATTTAGCATTTGTTCACTTCTCAATGGGAATTGTCGTAATCTTAGGAATGCGTCCACTTTGTGCATCAAAGGTATAGTGTTGATGTATTGAATTATCGATTACAGATTATTGACTTCATCGTCCAAATGGACTCAGGTGGACGCAGAAATGGGTTCATTTTTAACGAAATTCCCTAATTCAATATTACTCACTAAAATTGATGCGATTTCGTGCATTTTTTGTATAATAACTTACTGTCTACTTTGACAGCGTACTTAAAACTCCGGTGAAGTCATATCTTTGATAAGTCGTTTCTCCAGTGATGTAAAATAGTAAGTAGATTTCACTCTCTAATTCTTTCATTGTTGTGAACAATTTGGTCAACTTCACCTAAGTCGAAATTTTGCGTCTAGAGTTGCACTTTCTTCATCTTACCTATCGGTTTTCATCCATATCTCGAAAAGGGAATCGCTCAGTGTAATAGTCTTTAGCGCGCCACGCGTCTGTTTAATTTTACTTTTTAAAATGACAATAGCCTCTCAGTAGCCGTCTTTTGCTTCGCAAAATCCTCAAACTGTCCTCTCACCTACGTGCTGGTGATTACAATCGTAGTGATTGTGGCTTCGCCCTCTCATTATTGCGGAGATCTGCTGTATTTCCATTTGCATTGAATAAGGAGTACCTTTTCCTTTCAACTGCAAAAGGACCTTGCAGATTTTTGGCCACTCTTCCCATCCAACTCCTTTTTTACTTCCATTAGTTCATACATCTCTACTTTATAAAGGTAACTGTCAAATTACTCTGATTCTTCCTTCGGAGCACCTCCTTTAAGCAAATTATTTAAGCCTGACTCAGCGATTGCATCCAATATCCGAGTCGGGGATTTCGAAAGGCAGTGCGGACATTCTGATTGTGTTCACCCATGCGAGAGGTGATGATCCACTTTCGGGAACATTAATCAAATGTTATATATGTAGCAATGTGTGCACAATACGCTTCAGAACCCATAGCATAAAGGAAAAAAGAACTAATTATTTTATTCCGAGTCAAACATGAGTAATACTCACAAAATCGGACTCAGTCTGCCTAGGAAACAAAGGGTATAAGAGCCTTTTACTCCCTGTTTAGCGGTTGCCGCGCTATGAACATTCTTACCTTTACATTACTTCACTGCGGTCTTTCTAGCCCTACCATGTACAGATGAAGACTTCCAAATGCCTGAAAGTTTAGGACTCAGTTTGCAGTCGGCGTGGTAACTGAATCACAACGACTGAAATAAAATCCTGTCATTCATCCGTAACTTCTATAGTAGAACATTAATTGGTACCAAGTAAGAACAATCAATGACTCAGAGATTATGTGAGGCTCCAAAGTCCAACACTAAAGTCGACGTCACCAACCCTACTGGAATAAATGAAGTGACTTTCATCATGAGCACCATTTTTTGAGCAATTGTGTAAACACCTTACACAAACTGCGCAGAAACGTTCACACTTACATTACATTAATTTTAAAATGCGCTCTTGGACTCATTCATTTTAGGACATGTGATGAAATATTCTTGACGGCATTATCTCTATTTTGGAGGAAAAATTCACAAGCTACAAACGAACGCGCAAATCTGCTCAGAGAGCAACAGAAATAATTCCCCAATACGAATCATGTATCCAGTAACTAATAATCTTCCAAACCATAAACCTCGAAAAAACGATACTTGACGCCTTCTTAAAGGAAGTAATGTGAAACAGAAATAAACCTTCTAGCGTATTGAAAGACTGTTCGGATTTACTTTTCATAGCCCTACGCGGATATACAAAACGCGTAACCTTGTGGAGGCTTACGAATATGCAGCAACTTTTAGGGACAGCATCCTGCCTCCTCTTGTTACCCCAACCCCTCAAGACCACTTGATTTATTTGACTTCTGCCGTCGCATCGATACCGATTTTTTGTATCATCTTTGCAATACGCACTTATCAATGGACCTCGGTGGAGAATAAGGTGGTTCACCCTACCATAGTAACGCCTGAACTTCAGAAAAGATGGCCATTTTTTGTCGAATCGACAGAAGCACTAAAGAAACTTCATGACTATAAACATCTCAACTTGATCACGAGGATGACGTGAGGGCACGGAAGAGTGAGTAACTCTAGCCGACCTGAAAACTAATGTGTAACTGATTTGGCCTTTAACCCAAAACAATGGGATTGAACCACTGAATAGCACAATCTTCAGACACCTTATCAAATGAGATAGCGGATAAAATCAGTACGTTTTAATGGTCGGTTTTCCAAATGGTCCCAGCATTGAGAAGTTCTCTGATCATAGGTCAAATGAATGCGTAGAATTGGTCGCTCGAGATAGGTCAGCATGAGAAATCAGGGTTCAATTGCATTACCGGTTATTATTTTCTAGCCTGTGGATTAATTGCCCCAAATAAGTTCAAGACAGATCGAGGTATTAAAGTCATTCAAACCAGTAGGAGAGCCGCCTTAGATTTTTTAATTAGTGAACCATATGGAGAATAATCTTGAATAATATTAACGGGATTCAAAACTATTGATGTGGTTTCCCCTCTAGCGATAGTATAGTAGTTCTGAGATGTGTAGTTGCGCACAGGAATTTGACGCTAAATAGAATTCCCTTCTTTCAGTGTTCGTGGTCAAGTGACCACAAACTAGGAATAACAAGTTTAACTTACCAATTAGCAAGATGCTTCATATTCTAATTTATCATTATCCAATCTAAGATAAGTATTCACATGCATTAGCCTTCGACTACAAACGTTTGTTTTACAAATATGTTGGCATAGCTGTTGCAGAGCCGCCCGTAACGACAACTCTGGAGCTAGGGAAGCACATAAACACGATGACCTTTCATTAGGGTATCATCAGTGTCTCCTATCTTGAAAAGATTTGCTATAAACAACTATTATTTATAATACAGATAAATGAAGAAAAGCAATTAAGCTAAAACTGTACAGAGCAGCGTGGGAAGCGCATATAAGAATGACCTTTAACACTGCTGAACGGGCTCACAGAGTTGGAATTTCGAGGAATCCGGCCGCAACTGCTCCTGCTGCATCCACATGGAACAACGTTGACAACCTGGACAGGAATCCTCACCATAAGAGACGGTCGCATTGGTTGTAGCCTGCAGGCTCAGTTTAGCGTGCCCTTGAACCGAAATAATTTCCTTAGAAGCAGGGAAAACCTGGCAATGTCGGTTAATCTCCTCCAGGCAAGGCGATTTCTCCGAAGAGGGACCTTCAAGAGAGTTGACCCTTTCATTTGGAAGCATCACCGACTCTTCCGTCTGGATGTCCTCGTCTTCTGAGGAGCGCCTTTTGCCACCATGGATACTCCGGGGTTGTGATTCTTCAGTCAGGAATGGTGGCTGTGATGGTGCTGATGGTGCCTGTTGAATCGGTTTAACAGATTGGTATAGATCCGGTTGGCTGACTAGAGACAACAGTCGGCTAGTTTTTCGACCAATTTGGATTATTAGGAGGGTTCTTAGAAGGCTAGTTGATTTGGAACGAGCAAAGGGAATGGATCTTTGAGATTGCTCCTCACCTCTCGAGGAGGGTCGTGGAGTCTGGGGCTGCGAAGCCACAGGGACAGCATGGGGAGAACGCTGTGTCTTTACCTTTTCAATAGTCAATCGCATAACTGTTTCAAGAAGGAGGGGGGACATTTCAGGATAGATGGCAGTTGTAGAAGTCTCCATTTTGTATTGTTTGAAACTGCAAATAATCCTGTCGGTGTTAAACCGATGCTTATATATTGAGGTCGCCTACGCGCAGGAATACATAATTCACTGACACGATGAAAAGGAATGAGCAGACTGTGGTTGGTTCCTTGTCGAGGTCACACAAACACGCACAAGTGCACGCTGTTACTTCGGGCACGCACAAGCACAAGAGCGCTCCGGTTGGTGATGTAGTTCCTCTTTCTCGCCTTCAACTAACCT